CTCTTTAAATTCCTCCTGATCAGCCAGATCAACCGGGTGTAAGGCTCGTCGGTGTACGAGGATAAATAAGAGTGTTGTGGCTGCCTTGCTCGACAATGACTTAAGCAACAGGGGTGGGACCGGATTGCGCACCTTTAGACACACTGCTCACCCAGATGCTCAGGGACGTTGACACAAAGTGACTAATCAAGAAGGATACAGGGAGAGGGGGTATTCCGGTAACTGTTCACAGTGGCACTCAACAGACTATCTGCCATCCAGTGTACATCTCCAACAGGAGATGTTATTTTTGTTTTTGATTATCTAGTTGTTACAGACTTGCTGACAACTGACAGACAGCTACAGATAGACTAGATCTTTGTTGTATTGCAATCTGTTCTAGGGTAATCTAAAAATAGATTTGATATATCCTGTAGGACCTGACATTAGTTGTTGCTACATCACCTAACTATTTCTGTTCATCCCGACCGTGATTAGTTGTGTATCATATACGGATGTGTGTCAAGCTAAGGTAGGATTCAGTGTGGATTCTAGTTTAGATCACACACACTGTAGCTCATGAGTGATGCAAGCACAAGTGAGGAGGAGTTACTAGTGACCGTAGGACTACTCGCAAGACTGCCCGCAGTCGACCCTTGACATTCTTGGAGTTAGCTTCAGGAGAAGAGAGAAGATTGAGGCGAGAGGCTAGAGAGAGAACAGCTGCAAGGAGGGCGAGGGCAGCTGAGGACAGTGCTAGGGCTAGTATTTCAGCTAGCACCGGTGCAACCATGGCTACCTCAGCCATGTCGCAAGTCTCTACACAAGCCACGTCGTCGGGAGTCAGTCAGAGTAGCACTCAGGCAGCCACTAGTCAGATTGGTCATGTGCGAGTCAGCCAATCTCCTATCACGCCGGAGGACTTGGAAATCCGGCAAGCAGAAGAACTTCACAATGAGCTACAGCGGTAGATGGACGAAGTAGTGGAGAGGAGAAGGAAAGCTATGCAAAGAAAGGCTAGACTAGAGAGTAGAGCTCAGGAGCTAGGCAGACTGGAAAGACTAGATGAGTCAACATTAGACCCTGCTGTCCGTGTACTGCGAGGCGCATTACTTTCAGTGGCGGAAGCACAAAGCGTTCAGCATGAACTGTTGGCTGATTTGGTAGCAGGCCAGAAACAAATTCTGGTTGAACTTCGGGGCACTCGCCCAATGGTGAGGCCGCCACAGTTTGCTGTAGTTC